CGGCGGGTGGGCCGGAGGCGCGCGCGACCCTGCCGCCTGGACCCCGCTGCGCGTCTAGGTCCAGGACGTGGGCTGCTGGGGCACTTGGCGGCTGGCCGAGTGCCCTACAGTCCCTTGGAGATGGACCACACCCCTGGAGATTGGCCATGCTCCCTGTGGTGCCCTGCAAGCTGACCAGACCTCCTGCGGTCCTTGAACCCTGGCCACGCCCTCTGAGGGCCCCCAGAAACTGGCCAGTCCCAGGAGCCAAGTCCCCTGGAGTCCCCTGGAGATCGACCAAGCCTCACCTCTCCCGGACAGTGGATTTCCCCTCCTCTCCCAACTTTCTTCAGGAGGTGGGGGACACCTTCTGAGAATCCCTGGAGACCAACAGACCCCGAGGTCTTCTGGAACTACCCCCATGGTCACCTGGAGGCTGGACCCCCGGGATTACCTGGAGACTGACCACACATCCTCTATATCTCTGTGAAGACTGAAGACTGGTCCTCTAAGGTCATCTGGACACTGACCCTTCCTCCCCATCACCTGAAGAGGAACCAAAAACCTCAGAGTTCGTCAATTGACCATGCCCCTGTGGTCACATGAAGACTGTGGGCTCCTGTCCTCTTCCCTAGGGTGACCTGGAGATTGGTTACTCCCATTCTCCCCCCTTCTCCCATGAGTCCCCCAGAGTTCCCAGAGCAACAGACTATGTCCCCAGGTCTCTGTGGAGAATAGACCCACCCCTCCAGTTTCAGGGGAAACCACCGTTGTCTGTCACTGTTAAGACAAATTGACACGCCCCAGCTGGCTGTCATGACTGGCGGCCATGCCACATCCCTCAGGTATCTCTCTGGAGGGAGCAAATCCGCCTTGACAGCCCCTTTCCTGGCTGTCACCAAAGAGACCATCTCCTGGGCCCAGGGACCCATAAAATCCATGTCATTCACTATGGAGACAAGCTGCCCCACTTCCCATTGCTAGCAAGGCAACCATCCCAGCTTCTACCTGTCACCTAGAGTCACACAGCCCTTCCTTCATCAGTCACACCCATGGAGATAGTGCCTCCCCCTCCAGCTGTAACCATGGATACTACACGTTTCCCATCTCACAGGCCTCCACCCCAGAGACCCTTTCAACTCCACTTCCACTGTCCTCACCCTGACCAACAGTCAGAGACCACTCTCTCCCCCGTTGTGCCGAGAGTGACCCAACATTTGGATCTTCGCCTCAGCGTGAAACAGTCTGCTCCTTTCCCCAGGGCGCCCCAGCTCCTTGCCACCCTCCAAGCTCTGCCCCCAAGCGGCTTGTACCAGCGTTGCCATGGAGACCAAATCCCGGTGTCTGAGGTAATAGAACACATGTCCCCCCTAGGCTTTCCCTTGTCTGCAGAGCCTGCCCCACCAAACTGTCACCATAGAGACTGTCAACGTTGTCCTCATGACAACTGACTTCCCAGTTCTCAGGAACTTCTAGCCATGGGCTGAAACTGTGCACAATAGGGCTTAATGGCTTCCCCTTCACCAGATGGGCCCAGCCCTAGGCAGCACCCCAGACCCGGCTGGACTTCTGGAGCAGCTGGACACCCTCCTTTTGCACGCTAACTATACCAGATAACAGCTGTGCATGAGACACCCTTGCAACAACCAGGTGTTTTCACTGCCACTATATAGATGAGCAAACTGAAGCTCTGGTGTGCCCCTACCCTTTGTGTGTGCAAGCACTAAGCTCCCCTTTTCTCCTCTGAGACCACATCCCCATACTCACTGAACTCCTCTCTCTTTCCCTAATCTCTCACCCCCCACATTTCCCTCCTTAGATATCCAGGAGAGATGGAATTGTCTTTAAACCTCAAAACCCACCCTGAGCTCCAGGTTCTAAGGGGTGATTTGTGCTAAGAAGTCAAGACCCTGTCAAACTCCCCAGTGTTAAGAGCCAGCTCAGGGAGATGGTTCATGAACAAGGCCACCCAGCTGTTGGAGACCTCAGCTTTGAGATCTTGCCTGGAGTAGCACTGGGGTCCCTCCTGGAGCTCTCCTTATTGTTACATCCATTTCCAGGAAACCCATCTGTGGGTTTTGGAACCAGGTATGCCTGGGTTCGAATCCTGCCTCTGTGACCAAATGACAAAATCCCTGACCCTGTTTCCTCCTCTGTACCCAGGGCTGTTCTAAGGTCCCAGTGAGTGCAAAATGTACAGCAGGGGCTCAATAAATCTTTCTTTCTTTTTCTTTTTTTTAAATGAATGAGGCAGCTGGTGGGTTATGAAGCTAATTACTTCATAAATGCACTTCCGTGGACACAGTGTTTCCCAGCTGGGGATGCTTGGGAATGACTTGGTTGGGAAGCATCTCTCTTCATTTTTCAGAACCATCCCCTCTCCTCAGTCTTTCTCTCTTCTCCCTTCCCCTTATTCTGCCCTCACTCTCTCCCTTGAATCACCTCCCATGAGCCTGGTCCTTCTCAGCCCTGTCCTAATTGGGTCACTAACAAATCCAGTAGTTCCTCTCAGTCCCCTGGGAACGAAGTATGTGAAACTGGATGAGTTCCTGCACCAGGAAAGCAGAGAAGTTGCAAATTTTCCCTGGTTTGGGGCTGAGGGTGGTGTTGGGGGGAGGGTGGGCTGAGGACTTTGGAACTTTCTGGGATGCAAAGAAAGGGACAAGAGAAAAGAAGTGTAAAAGTCTTACTTGGTTATAGAAGTGGGATGGTCGATTTAATTGCTCATGCTTCAGTATCAGATGGGACAGAGCTCCTAGAGACTCAAACCACTTGTCTGAAGCCACAGTCTAGCCCCCTGGTTAAACTGCCTTGGGCTCGAGCTGGCCTCTAGTTTCCTTGAATAAGGGAATGATAATGGGTATTCTTCTGGAGATGAATGCACGAGATTTCTTTCATCCCACTTTTTCCCCACTGAAATCCTTTCTCCCTTCCACGGGTTCCAGCATCCTGGTTTTGCCTCGAGTATGTAAGTTTCCCTCCTCTTATTCCGTGAGAGTCAGAGGGGCTGACTCCCTGGACAGTGAATGCTGTGGCTCATCTTCCTGGGCAACCCTCACTGGCCCAGGGGTGAACATGGACCCAGGAAGACCAATGAGATGCAGTCCCTGGGATTTTGACGGACCAATAGGCAAGGGAACCTTCTTTCTGCTGGGGTCTGCACTGTTGGAGTGGAGATCTCGCAGGCCCACCTGGAGATGTACTTACCTGTTTTCCACACATCCTCACCAGCATCATGTGTTATCACTTTTTACCTTAGTTGACCTGATAGGTGACACATAATATCTCCTTGTGGTTGCCACTTGCAATTCACTTGTTATATGAAGCTGACCATCCTTCATTTCGACCTGAGGTGCAGGCAGTTGAATAAATCATAAATCCTTCTCAGTTCAAGTACATTGTCATTGATCAATGCAAGGCCCCGCTCTTGTGAGATTTATTTACTCTTTGCTGTTTCTCAAATGAAGCATGTTCCCTTCTGCAAGAGGATTTTTTCCTTTGCTCTTCTCTCTGCCTGAAACTCTTCTTTTCTTCCCTTCCTCATCTAGTTAATGCTATTCTTCCTTTAGAGTCCATTCACCTCCTCTAGGAAGCCTTCCCTGACCACCTCCCAGGGGCCATATCTGTTCTGTTCACCACTATCTCCTCAGCATCCAGCACAGTACATGGCTCATAATAGCAGTTCAGTAAGTCCTTGCTGAGTGAATGAATGAATGAAGGTGTCAGGAGGCAGGCTGAACTGTTAAAAATTTTTATTAAAATGTTCAAGAAGTACATTAATGTCCACAGTGTCAGATACCACAGACCCACAGAACACTGCAGCTGACAGCAAAACCAACAGAACCCAAAGCTGTTCACACGCACACACACTCAGACGCATGCCTCACACGTGGCACACGCAAACACACGCACATCTCAAAGGGAAAGACCAAAAGACAAACCACACACTTTAGAAAAGATCAGAGCCCCCTCCCACCATGGAGCTGGGGTAGGGGTAGGGGCAGGGGCAGGTTGAGGGGGCCGGGGCAAGGAGCATAAACCAAGACCCTCCCCAAAAAAGTTGCACCCCCAGAGGCCCCCCACTCCAAAAGGAAATTCTTTTGTGACATGGATGTCTGAAGATGTGTTACTATTTTTACACTTTTTAAACCAAGAGGAATTATCAAAGCTAGAAGACAAACCAATATCCCTGGATAATGGATGGATAAGTGGATAATGTCTTAGGGATGACTAAAGACCACAGTCAAGGATGAGGGTCTCGTTTGCACTTCTCAATCTTTTCCTGAATTTTCCTGTGTGTTAGAGTGTGGTTATGTTTCAGTTCCTTTCCCCAAAGAGAGTGGGTTTGGAGTCAGACAGAGGCAGGACCAAATCCTTATTCCTGTCTTGCAAGCCAGTGCCTTTCTCTAATCTGAGCCTCAGTTTTGTGTTATGTAAAGTGGGAAAATATTGGTTCCTAGGTCACTGGGCTGTTGCGAAGATTCAAGGAGATAGTGTGTAAGTCCTTAGCATGGTACCTACTCCATAGTTACTACTTCCTGGGAGGGATATAGGCTCAGGCAACACATTTCTTTCTTTACCGAACTCTTAGCTGGACCATACATTTGCTTCTTTTCTTTCCTACAGAGGGCCATTTTCTACTGTGGTTCTTAACATTCATCCACAGATGCTACCCAGACTAGGTAACCCAACTCCTCTAGGAGTTGAGAGTGGACAAAGGACATGGAGGAAAAGCTGTAGCTCTTTCCTGCCAGAGATCAGGAAGCTACATGCTGACTTCTGGCTTCGGAAGACCTTTTACAGGTCACAGATTTGGGGGAGGAAGGCAAAGTGAGTTTTTTACCACTTAAAAAATTTAAAAAACTGAGAGAAAAATGTGTGTGTGTGTTTAGTTTTTAACCCTGCACATCCCTCTACATGACGGCAGGTAGATGTCACTACTTCAAGTGTTAAGCATTTCTAGTCCACCAGGCAATGGATGGAGGCAGGGATGGGGTGAGTAGGGGTGGAACCCGGGCAGGGGCGCTACCAATGTCTGCTTGAGGGATGGATATGGGCACTGAGCTAGAAAACTTGGCACCTCCTTGGTCCAGGAAGGAGGTTCTTTGTCTCCCTGAGAGATGGAGGGGGAAGAAATCTGGACTCATCGAGCCCTAATCATCCTCTCATCTGTGTGTGTGTGTGTGTGTGTGTGTGTGTGTGTGTGTGTGTGTAAAATTCACCATACATGCAGAACCACCAAATTTTAGTATTGGACTAGACCTGGGAGGGCAAGCAATACATCTTCCCATCCCATCATTGCCCAGAAATTGCTCTGACCATTCTGACCTCTAATTCTGAGGGCATGGAGGGAGGTTGTTCTAAAAACATTCCTAAAATTCAGTACTTAGGAGTTCCACACTCAGTTTATCCAGCCAGACTAAAGACCAAACTTGGGCTGAAGTCCAAGGTAAAAGGAGAGCAGTCATCAAGTTCAGTGTACTTCCATGTAGTTCCTACTCCCAAAGCCAATGACCTTCACTAAAGGCTTTAGCCTGCATTTAGGACATCTGACAGTTTACCGAATCTGAATCTCTGGTGGTAAAAGCAGTTCCTTAGTGTGAATCCAAACACATGTTCTTGCACCCTCATCAAAGCCTTATTTCAACAACTGGCAGTCAGCCTTGCCAACAAAAGTCTAAACAAGTGCAAAGAATGGTCTTTGCCGATTGTGCTTCCCTCCACTGGAAAATGCTCCCAGAGTTCAGCCCGACTAGAACTGATTTTTCAGACACATGGCTACACCTGCCAAGAGGACCTTGTGTATGTAAGAAAGAGGAAAGAGGAGCTTTTTACAAATGGTTATGTAAGGGGAGGGGATGTGGTTTGGGGCTCAGGGGCTTTCGGACCCTCTTGTTTCTCTCTGGGCTCTGTCTCCCCAGGTGAAGGCTCCAGGGGAAGTGTGGGAAGGGGGTTGTGCTTTCTTTTGCCTGGTTCTTCAGCAGAAATTCCCTTCTTCCTTCTCCCAGTCCTCTGCTGGGTGTTTCTTGTGTTTTCTGCGCTCCTTGCGCGATTTGTGGTGGCGATGCTGGTGATGGTGATGGTGATGGTGTCGCCGCATCCGATGGGACCGTCTGGCTGCAGGGAAGTGAGGGAAGGTAGGAAAGTGGCAAAAGCTGATTAGAGGTGGGTTCGCTGATGGATCAGGCCTCCGCAGGGGAGGGCAAATGAAGGAAACAGCAAACAGGCTGGTAAGTTCTCACTTATCTGCAAGGCAGATATTCAGCCAGATCAATGTGTGCAGGGATGAGATGTTTTGGAGACTACAGATAGGTGGAAACTTGTGCTGGGGTGTCTGGGGGAAGCCACTCACGTTTGGTGCAGACAATTTGGGGCCGGTCCCATTTGCCATTGCTCCGGCACCGGATGGTGGCCACATGGTGCTGGGCAAATCCTTCATCGCACTGGTAGCGTACAGTGGCATGGACATTATACTTGGCCTTGCGGGCACCGATGGGCGAGGCATTCTCCACTGCCGGAGGGGGACCACACAGCACTGGGGATGGAGGAACCTCCAGTTAGAGAAATGGACAGGACTGAGGCTGAACTGGTTTCATCTCTTGTGATGAACCCTTAACATGTCCCCTCTTTGCCAGGCTGTGACCTCAAAGGGCTGGAAGTAAATGTGTCCATCTCCTCTACCCAAACCAGGAGCCTCTCAGGCACAGGAATCTCCTAGACACATCCTGCCTCCTAATTCTTGTGCATGATGGGAATGTAGGAGATGGGAGGCAAGAATAATCTGAGCAAATGAAAGGAAGAAAGGACATGAAAATTGGCAAAGAAACAGAAGCAAGAATGAAGAAAAATATAAGAGAAAGGCAGACATGAGAAGGCATCTGAGTGTTTCCTTCATAAGTAAAGAGTTCTTACAAGTCAATAAGACTAATGAGCCCATAGAAAACTAGGCAAAGAAGATAAACTGGCAGGTCAAAGGAAATTGACTACATACCAACAGCTTATCAACATATAAACGGTTGGTTATTCTCATCCTCAAAGATGTGCAAACTATGGTAACAACAAGATACTGTTTTTTCACCACTTCAATGAACAAAAAACAAAAAATTTGAGAGCACACAGAGTTGGCAACGGTGGGGAAAAAATGGGCACTCTCACATAGGGCTAAAGAGTGAGAACTGGCCTGAACTGACTATTAACATTTCCAAACTTAAATAAAACAATGAACCAGTGAATCTGAAAGGCAGGAGGAAAGGTAGGGGGAAGGGGTGGAAGGGAGAGTGGCAGCATACCTGTGCCCTTCTTACAGACATAGGGGAGGTTGTAGTTGCAGGGAACATCATTCCAGCGGCCACTCTCATGCGCAACCATCACCACGCAGTCCTCTCCTCCAGCGAAGAAATTGTCGGGCTGGTTCTCCCGCCAGTTCTCATATTGCTGTAAGAATAGGGAGCAGCAGGTGCTCAGGGGACCTGCATCTTGACCCAGGCTCTGGCACTGGCACTGCGGGACTCTTCTGGCCAGACCATTCAAAGTCGGAAGGACTCAGTGTTCCCATCTCTACAATGGGCATTGTTCTACCTGAGGAGCCCTGGCCACCACTGCAGCCTGAGTCAACCCTCCTCTCGTTGTGTGGCTGCAGTGCCCTCTTCTCTGGTCTTCTTGCCTCCTGTCTCACTCCCTGATAGTCTGTTTTCCACATAGGTCACTTGCTGTTAGGTAAATAGTTGAATAAATGGTGACCTCATGCTGGAAGTCCAGGAGGACTTCCCTGAGGAGAAAACAGGAGAGCTGAAGACTCAAGGATAGAAATGGTGCAGGCAGGGGACAGAGTTCCAAGCAGAGGGAACAGCTAGTGCAAAGGCCCAGAGGCAGGACTGAGCTGGTCATGTCTAAGGAACAGAACAGAGGATAGGAGGGCTGGAGCTGCTGGATCCAGTTTGGGTGTGGTCAGAGAATGGGTAGGGACCAGTTCTCACGGTAGAGGAGAGGAGGTGGATTTTTTTTTTCTTATTGTGGTGAAGTATATATAATATAAAATTTACTACTTTAACCATTTTTAAGTGTCCAATTCTTTGGCATTAATTAGATTCACAATGTTGTGCAAACATCACCACTGTCTATTCTCAGAATTTTTCATCACACTGAACAGAAACTCTGTACCCATTAATCTATCACCCCCCATCCGCCTTCCCTTCAGCTTCTGGCAGCCACTGATCTACTTTCTATCTCTATGGATTTGCCTATTCTAGATATTTCATGTAAGTGGAATCATACAAATGAAGCCTTTAATGTCTGGATTTTTCCCTGAGCAAAATGTTTTCAAGTTTTATCCACATTGTAGCTTTTTAATTCCTTTTTAATGACTGAATAGTATTCACTGTGTGGATGGACCACATTTTGTTCATCTATTCATCCATGGATGATCATTTGGATTGTTTCCACCATTTGGCTACTGTGAGTAGTGCTGCTCTGAACATGGGTGTACAAGTATCTGAGTTTCTGCTTTCACTTCTTCTGGGTATCTACCTAGGTGCAGGATTACTGGGTCACCTGGTAATTCTAGGCTTAACTTTTTGAGGAAGAGCCAGACTGTTTTCCACAGCAGGAGGAGGTAGGTTTTTTATCTTGGGAGGGCTTGAAGCCAGGAGAATCCTGATCTGATGTATAATTTCTAAATGGTTCCTATGGACAAGGGTTTCCTTTTGTGGTGCTGAAAATATTCTGGAACTAGATCATTACACAGTATTGCGAAAGTACTAAAAGTCACTGAATTACATGCTTTAAAATGATTAATTTTATGTTAGGTGAATTTCATCATAAATTTTTAAAAAGTCCCCAGAGCCACCAGGTAAAAGGGACAGGAGTGCAGGTGAGCTGCTGCAGCATCCAAGTAAGTGCTGAGGGAAGCCACATAGTGAGGGGATGTAGGGAAATGGACACACTTGAGAGTCTGGCTGGAGGACCAGGTGGAGTGAGCAAGAGGGAGGCGTCAAACCCCTTCCTAGGTTTGTAGCCTCAGTCACTGGGTGACTGGCCATTTACAGAGCTGGGAAGTCGGAGTGATGTGGGGCTTTGCTGAAGCTTCTTTGCCAACCCCGGCATCTCAGAGCCACTGGGGGCCTTTGATGGCCACCTGTGGTGGTTTTGCACAAGTGGATAAAGTGAAGCCAGAGGGCAGGCGTTGCAGCTTACCTGAAACTTTCCACTCTAGGCAGGGCCCTGGTCTGCAGTCTGACTGCAGGGACCCAGGCCCCCAGGCTACCGCCACTCACCAGCCCTGTGTTGTCTGTCCACTGGAAATCTCGCTCCACAATCCTGTGGTTCAGGCCAATCCATGTGTTTTCACGCCCAAAACCTGCAGGGTAGGGGGTCATGGGAGCTGGGTACCTGTTCCTCCTCCAGCCTAGGTTGCTGGCTGGAGGCCAGGCAGGGAGCATGGGAGGGGTGACCTAGCCCCATCCCTGACCTGGAGGTGGGCTGGAAGGGGATGGAGGTGAGAATGAGAGGGGGTACCCAGAACCCTTCCCCCAGTTCCGAGTATGAGATGGGGGGAGAGGACCCCAGCCTGGGGGCCGTGGGCTGGAGGCCATATACCCCTATTCCCTAGCAGGCTGGGACTCTGGCTGCCCTCAAACCTGGGGAGTGGAGGAGGGGCACAGTAAGGGCTAGAGTTAAGCTCCCAGACTTGCCACTATTTGTGGCTTAAACAAAATGCCCGAGGTAAAAATAAACAGTCATATCTTTGCAGAAATAACACAGTAAGGGATAGGAGAGCCATTGGATGGGGCCAGACAGGGCAGACAGGTGAGTCTGAATGACCCAGTCAGTCACTGAGGAAGGAGGAAGAAGCTGGATGAGTGTGTGTTTGATCACACTGAGGAAAAAAACCAGCGGACCAGGGAATGAACAAATGGAAGAATTAACAGAGGACCAGAGGAGGACAATGAATAAATAAACAGATGAAAAAGGGCAGAAGGGGTAAGGAGTAAATCAATAAATGCTGGATTTAATTAATTAATGGGACACTCTTCTCTTTCTCTAAGTCTCTACACAGCTCCTTCCTCATTTCATCCCTCAAATTACAGATGCTTCTCCATTGCTCTCTATCCCCTGGACCCATTTTAATTGTCATCGGTGCACTTAGGAGCAGCTAAATTATAGTATAGACTTATTTAGTTAGATATTTACGTGTTTGCCTATATCCCTTAAAAGAACATCACTCCCTAAGGATAGGACAATGTGTCTCTGTGTCTGGAATGGTGCCTGGCACATAGCAGGTGCTTAGTAAATATTTTGGTGAATGAATGAATGAAACGAATGAATGAACTGACAAGTGAAAAAATAGACAAAATTAATAAGTGGTCAGGGAGTTCGAGATTTGCAGGTATTAAGTACCATGTATAAAATAAACAAGTTTATACTGTATAGCACAGGCCACTATAGTCAATATCTTGTAGTAATCTATAAAGAAAAAGAAAATGAAAAGGAATATATATAGATATGCGTATGACCGAAACATTATGCTGTACACCAGAAACTGACACATTGTAAAGTGACTATACTTCAAAAAGTAAAAATTGGTCAGAGCTTGCATTAACGAACACAGCTTCAGAAAGGTGGTGTCTTCAGGACCCTGGGGGGTGCCCTAACAAAGGGACTGCAAAGGCCACCCTTGTGCACCCCAGAGTTCTTACTGTTAATGAAGCCATGTTCTTCCGGAGAGTGGATGCTGGTCAGGTGGCCAGCTCGACGGCGGCAGTCCCTCTCTGCGTCCTCCCATGCCCGCCGATGGGCGAAGTAGCGGTAGCAGTGGCCCTGGAACTTGTGCCAGCCGTGGTCACAGCCCTCTGTGTCTGAGAGGTGGGAAGGGAGTATGAGGGGGGCTGGCCTCGGGCAGAGCCAGCCGTGAGCACAGCCAGCCCACCAGGGAGAGAGCCCAATCCAAGGTCACTGCAGGGCTAGATGACCCCTCGCCCTGGGCCTGTCCCCACCCCCTGCTTTGTCCTCCGAGCCTTTCACCTCTCTCCTCCCATTTTCACTTCTTTCTGTTGCAGGAAGAGATTCAACTGAAAGATCATTAACACCCATCCCCTCTTGTCCCAACTCTGGTGTCTCCTCTGATCTGGCCACACTCTCTGTGTGGACCTGGGAACTCAAGAAATGGTCTCCGGAAGGCCTAAAATTTTCCTCCTGGAAAAAAGCTTGAATAGACATTTCTCCGCAGAAGATATACAAACAGCCAAGAAGCACATGAAAAGATGCTTACCGCTGTGAATCATTAGGAAACATGTAAGGACCACAATGGAACACCACCTCACACTCATTAGGATGGCTATAATTTTTTTTAAAGGGAAATAATGAGTAATGGCGAGGATGTGGAGAAATTGGAACCCTCATGCACTGCTGGTGGGAATGTAAAATGGTGTAGCCGCTGTGAAAAACAGTCTGGTAGCTCCTCAAAAAGTTAAACACAGAATTACTATGTGACCCAGCCATTCCACTCCTGGGTAGACACCAAAAAGGATGTGGTAAAAAAAAGAATGGAAAACAGGTGTTGAAATAAAAACCTGTACCTTCATAGCAGCACTATTTACATTATCCACAAGGGGCAGACAACCCAAGTTTCCACTAAGTGAAGAATGGATAAACAAAATGTGACCCATCCATTCAATGGAATATTATTCGGCCATAAAGGAGTGAATGGAGCACTGACATGTGCTACAATGTGGATGAACCTGGAAAACGTTATGCTGAGTGAAAGAAGCCAGGCACAAAAAGACATATAGTGTATAACCGCATTTATATGAAACATCTAAAATAAGCAAATCCACAGAGACAGAAAGTAGATTAGTGGTTGCCAGGGGCTGGAGAGGAGGAATGGGGAGTGACTGCTAATGGGGACAGAATTTCCTTTGGGGATGATGAAAACGTTTTAAAACTAGCTAGAGATGGTGGCTGCACAACATTGTGAATGTACTGAAAGCCACTGAATTGCACGCTCTGAAAAATTACCCCTACGTTATAGGAATTTTATCTCAAGAAAATAATTTGCCTCCTGTCTCACTTATGGCCATGGAACCAGAAGCAGAGACCTGGAGCATCATGTGTGGGAAGCTGGCAGCCCAGCACCCAACCCCACTTCTGGTACTGTTTCTGGGGCCTCACAGAGACTCACCTTTCTCGCAGAGGCTGCCTGCGTAGCTGGGGAGGCAAAGGCAGACAAAGGCGTTGACCTCATCGATGCAGGTACCTCCGTTCTCACAGGGGCTCGAGATACAGTCGTCTATATCTGGAGGGGAAGGTGGGGCCGAGTCAGAGGTCAGCCTCCCCTTGGCTCCCAGGCCCCATGGGGAATCAGGCAGAAGATGTGGTCACGATTCTGCCATCTATCCCAGAAACTGAGTGCAACGGCAGTGGTCTGCACAGATGGCCCAGTGACTCTGGAGGTCAAGAGGGTGGAATCTCACACCATTAACATGAAGTAGCACCAATGGTAGCAGATGCCACTGGGTGGGCTGAAAGCCAGAGTGTGCACTATGTTCCACCTGACTCCGGAACAGTGAAGGCGGGTTTGGCAAATAGACCCATAGAATGTCAAAGCTGGAGTCTTTTCAGAATGTGGAACCTAGAGCAACTGGGCTCCAGAGCATTTGCAAGGACTCACAGAGTCACAAAGCTGTTCATAAGTAGAGGGAGCTATCAGTTGAACACCCCTTCTATCAATCCCTGGGTAGTTATTGCCTAAGGCATGTATGATGCCAAGCAAGTCACTTCCTGTCTGTGAGACCTTTTCTTCTTTCTTTTGGCAAAATCAATTTTTCTTTCTTTCTTTCTTTCTTTCTCTTTCCTTTCTTTCTTTCTTTCTTTCTTTCTTTCTTTCTTTCTTTCTTTCTTTCTTTCTTTCTTTCTTTCTTTCTTTCTTTCTTTCTTTCTTTCTTTCTTCTTCTTCTTCTTCTTCTTCTTCTTCTTCTTCTTCGTTACTTACGTTACGTTATTACGTACTACGTTACGTTACCGTACGGTACGGTCGGTACGTACGTGGTACGTACGGGTACGGT